CTTGAGCCGCATGTCCTCTTTGCGTCTTTTAGCATGCCCAAATTTATCCGGGCCCCATCCCTTGAAGTAGGTTTTAAATCTTTTGAGCTTGATGTTTAAAATATCAATCGGGTCCGAGGCAGCAACCTTTCTATTCCAAATGTTAGCCACTAGGCCGAGAAATCTACCATCTTTTAACCATGAGAGATCAAAGCGAAACTCTCGGCTTTTAGCAAGTGCCCTCTTCTCCCCTCCAGTGTATAACAAGAGAGGGTTGTGGTCAGACAGTTCTCTGACCAGTTTTCTCATGGAGACCAAGGGGAACAGTTCCTCCCAGGAGTCAGACATCAACACCCTATCAAGTTTTTCGAGCGTGGGGTGGGACTGATTATTAGTCCAGGTGTACTTACCCCCGCTCATATAAATCTCCCTAAGGCCAAGAGTGTTGATGATGGAGTTGAAAAGATCTGTAGACTTAGACCTATGCATCTTTTTATTTTTCTCTCCAGTATGTCTTAAAATGTTAAAATCACCACCAACTATATAAGGGATATCAATGTTGTGGCAGAAGGAGGCCAGTTCCATCAGGAATTCTTCCCTATGCTCCTCATGAGCAGATCCATAAACTACCAGGAAGATCAAGCTGTTTTTGGTCCTAAGATCTCTAACATTCATCTGCAGAATATATCTCCCCTTAATGCATTTCAACAACTCCAGGTTATTGATGCGAGTCCCACAGAGAATGCCCCTAGATTTACCAGTAGCAGGGATCCATTCCCAATGAAAAGAGTTGAAGGGATCAAGTCTTCTAAGAAGTTTAGGTGAAAAATCCTTTTTTAAGGTTTCCTGTAACCCTAGGAAATCAATGGAATGGTCACTAATAATGTCAGAGAGGCAGGTGGACATTCCTCTCTTGCCCACCCCTCTGCAGTTTCAAATGAGGCCACTCATTTGGAACGAGTAGTTTGTTTTCTGGCTCTAGTGACCCTACTAGGAGGCAGGGTAGAGTCACCTGATATAACAGCAATGCCATTTTCCTTCTTTTGACTCCTAGTTACAGGCCTAGGTAGTCTGATGTCTACTTTTTTCTTGCTCTTCTTAGCAGATTTGGATTTAACTAACTTGTCATTGACAATGTCATCCTCATCCAGCCAGGCTAAATTTAAGGGAGAATCTTTACCCAGTCCATTAGTAACAAACACCTCATCATTTTCCAAATTTTCCTGAGTGTTTGTATTCTTGTCAACCAAATTGGCTCTAACTATTTCTAATTCTCTCAAGATGTTAACACAAGCAAAATCATTATTGGGAATTAAGGCCCCCATCTTAGAGGCTCGACTAATGAGTTCAGAGTCAACTAAAGCAGCAAAGGCATTATTGTCATTGATTTTGGTATTACCTTTCAGATCCCTGGCATTGATCAGGTTCGTAGCTCTGGTTTCCACATTCACATGCTGGAGATGGGCGTTGCACTGACTGAACCGAAGATGTAACTCAGGTGCAAGGGGAGGAGCAGGAATAATCTCCTCACAGTCAGGATGGGGGAGCTGTACCGTGTAATCCATGGAAACCTTTAGGTCTGGTTGAAATCTGAGCTGATTCAGCAGATGTAGTAGAAGCAGCAATGGGAAAAGCAACATCAGTTAGATTATTCACCTGCAGAGTTTGATCACTTACAGCCACTTGACCAATAGGATCGTGCTTGCAATTGTCACTCGGAGGAAGCAAATAATCATCAACCTGATGTGTTCTGTCAATAGCCATCTCCAAGGCAATTTTCTCAATCAGCAGTGGGCTATTGGCACAACTGTTCTCACTTTCAGAAGATAAACTATCAGCAGGGGACTGATCCTCATCCTTAGGTGACGCTAAGCGACAGGCTTTGCCGCCATGATAAGCGGAGGATTTAGCATTTTCAGTCCTCTTAGAAGTTTTGTTATCCTCATCAGGAGGCGTGTCATTTCGCTTGCATTCGGGAGTAACATTTTTCTGGCCAGTGTAGTGTGGCACTTGTACATGTTCTTCCTCTCGGATAGTGTTCCTCACCAAAACCTCTTCCACCCCATATTGAAAGCGATAGAAACGTCCCCCTAAGCAACCCTTAGTCGAGGCAGGCAGCTTATCAACCTCACGACATCCCAGCTTAGCATGCACAGAGGACGGCTGATTGAGGGTCGACATGTCGATGTCCAGGGTCACCCCAACCAGCCCTCCAACATAGGCCACATTCTTGTCACATTGTTTGTTAGGGGGGATTTTACTGATTATCACCCAAGCTACTTCAAGCAATCCCTCAGATTCTACATCCTCAGACCAAGGAGTAATACGAACAACCACCCCCAAAGATTCGAGGGAAATATACTCTACAAATAAAGCCTTATCCACCTCCCTTTGGTTAGGAAATCGCATCACATATTGGTTAGGAGCGATCAGGTGAGCCGAGCACCTCCACCCCTGCCCAATGTACTTCTCAAATTCATCTACCAGCTGCTTAGTGATAATCTCCCCTTCTACAATGGTGATAATGACCTTAACAATCCTCTCACTAGTCTGGCTGCTAACAAAGTAATCATGTATATAATGAAATCCCTTCCCCTTAGCTTGGAAAGTGCACATCGCAGGTATGCATTCCCAGGGGAGGAAATCAGTGCAAATCACAGAAAGATGACCCTTCTTTTTGCATCTAACGCATAAGGCTTGTGGACACTTAGCAGTAGAATGCCCCATATGATTACAAATTTGACAGATCTCAGAGGAAATGACTATGTGGTCAGGGATAGCAGGGGGATCATGCAGCTTCTCAGGAGGAGTAATCTTGTCGGTGTTGCGAGGATTATTGTCGTCCCCATCGGCTCCCCAGCGATCTTGACGGGCTAGGGTTTTGTGTTGCGTTCCTGCAGCCTTCTCCCATCGATCAAAGCCCATCTCGCCAGATCCAGATGGGGCGTTGGAGGAGGAGGCCCCCATCATCACCTTGCGGGTCCAGACATGGCTATCACGACCACGCCCACGCCCTCGCCGCCACCTCTAGTGCGGCCGCGGCCACCCTCATCGCCACGGCCCCGACCTTCTCCGCGGTTGAAACGGCCCGCGCCGCGTCCATGGCGCCCCGCACCGAACCCCTCTTCCCTCATCTTAGGTGGCTCGCAAGAAGAGACAACAGCGGATCTAGGTGGGGAGGATGAGACAACCCGAGCAAAGGATCTAGAATCTCCACGGATTTTCCCCTCCCACCAAGTGAAGGAGGTACGAACCCTAGATTTCTCTCTCTGGTTTCTCCCAGAAATGGAGGAGGCAGACTTCCAGATCTAAAATGGGGGGACGGGAGGCTGGGCATAGCGATTTATACCAGGAGGCGGAGCCGAAACCCTAGCCGCGGCTTGGTCATGGCGGTCGGATATGCTCGAACCCACGTGTCGCAGATCCGGGAGGGTGGAGCGGTTTTCTGCCGGTCGACGCCCTAGGATCCCCGAACCGGCCAGGAGTGGAATACCGAGTCGATCTCCATGAACCGCCCCCAAACCCCGAGATCCATCATGGGAGCACGACGGCTCGCCGCGCGCGGCCACGCCGGCACCCCGGCTCTCCGGCGGACGGTTCGTAGGTAAGGGGGGAGGAAGACGATCCCAAACCCTAGCAAAATGACAGGGGAAGGGAATGATGTACCCAATATCAATCACCTCCTCGACGCGCAGGGATCGGGCATCCATCGTGCCGCCCCGATCGTCGAGAAGCACCATGCGCAGCGCATCCTCCCGGAGAAGGAGTTCGCGAGTGGCGAAGGTGATGGAGCGCGCCGCCATGAGATCCGGGGCGAATGTGACCCGCCATCGTGCGTCCGCCATCGGTCTGCTTCGGCAGCACCCCCTTGAGAAGGGCGATCATGGCGCGCCGGTCATCGTGATTTGTACCTTGCCCCATCTTCACCGCGTGCCACAGCTCATCGGCCTGCAACTGCAGCTTGGTGATCATGACCTAGTCAGAGTAATTCGTGCGTGTGAGCATCATCAGGGGCATGCTACCGCCACCGCTGTGCACGACGCGCTCGACCACGCGCACCCCCGATCCCTTCTCAATGGAGAGACGCACCATGGATTTCTTGAGCGGCCTCCTCCTCCTCCAGCTGCTTCTTCGCCTTCTCCTCGTTGCTGCCCACCATCTCTCCGGCGGATCAGACACCGCCGACGCCCAGGATGGATCGTACACCACCGAGGCTCTGATGCCACTTGCTGTCGCAGAGGCTGACAACACGGCGAGGAAGAGACAAGAGCGAGAGGGAGCGAGAGGTTCAAGACAGTGGTTTTGTGCTGTGTAACTTTTGCAGCTTTTCTGTTGCTGATCTTATTTATCTGAACTCGTCAACGAGTTCCTGAAAACAAGCAAAGGAAGCGGTCATGCCCGCCGAGCTTACAGGTCGTGCCATCCCACGACGCCCGGACGTGCAGAGCCCTATGTGCCCGCGGCGAGGAATGCGTGATCCCGTGGCGATTCCCGCGGCGAGCAGAAGATATGCTAACAACCTAATGAAAACTGCAGGGAAAAACTAACTGAATCTCGTACGTGCACAGCCACACGCTGACGGCCAGTTTTATTCAGAGAAACTGGAGATGCACAACCACGGACCTGGAATTAGCCAACAGTGGAGGTACTACAGTCAGCACCAAAATACAGTCAAGCCAACGCCTTGGTGCCATCTCAGCACCAAAATACAGTCAGCACCAAGGATCACTCTATAGACGCGCCCAGAGAATGCCTTGGCGCCGAGATAGATAACTCTGCGGATAGGAACCCATCCGACGATCCGAGGTGGCAACGCCACGCCTCCGCCGATCCAATGCCGCTCCCTGATTGGTCCAAACCAAATCCAGAAATCCTCCGCCACCCCCGCGTCTCCACAAAAACTTGTGCTACAAATACGTACACGTCGCCCCTCTCCAATTCCCACCACTCACTGAGAGGCACCCAGCAGCAGCAGCCGGCTAGGCCACCGTACGTACGGACTCCGATCCGGAGCAGCAGGCATGGCATCCACCATCATGGCCGCCGCCTCCCGCGCCGTCGTCGCCAAGACGCCGTTCCTCAGCGGCCAGGGCCGCGCCGCAGGCGCCAGCCCCCTGCGCGACATCGCCGCCGCGGCCAACGGCAGAATCACCATGGTACGTGCCACTGCCATGAACTAACCACCACGGAAGGAACTCGTCCTAAGAGCTAACGATTGTCTGATGTGTGCGCTCGCTCGCAGGGCAACGACTTGTGGTACGGCCCGGACCGCGTCAAGTACCTGGGGCCCTTCTCCGCGCAGACGCCGTCCTACCTGAACGGCGAGTTCCCGGGCGACTACGGCTGGGACACCGCCGGGCTTTCCGCCGACCCGGAGGCGTTCGCTAGGAACAGGGCGCTGGAGGTGATCCACGGGCGGTGGGCGATGCTCGGCGCTCTTGGGTGCGTCTTCCCCGAGGTGCTCCAGAAGTGGGTGGGCGTCGAGTTCAAGGAGCCCGTCTGGTTCAAGGCCGGCTCGCAGATCTTCTCCGAGGGTGGCCTCGACTACCTTGGGAACCCCAACCTCGTCCACGCGCAGAGCATCCTTGCCGTGCTGGGCTTCCAGGTCCTTCTCATGGGCCTGGTCGAAGGGTTCCGCATCAATGGTCTCGACGGTGTCGGCGAGGGCAACGACCTCTACCCCGGCGGCCAGTACTTCGACCCGCTCGGCCTTGCCGACGACCCTGTCACCTTCGCTGAGCTCAAGGTGAAGGAGATCAAGAATGGCCGTCTCGCCATGTTCTCCATGTTTGGGTTCTTCGTCCAAGCTATCGTCACCGGCAAGGGCCCATTGGAGAACCTGTTCGACCACCTCGACGACCCTGTCGCCAACAATGCATGGGTTTTCGCCACCAAGTTTGCGCCTGGATCTTAGGCTGGCCGACGTTGCCATTGTAAAGTGTAAACTACTCCCATGTGTGTGTGTGTGTGCAAATAGCAACGAATGGTCGATGTGATCTCGAAATTTGGAGGATTTTTTGGTTCACTTTCTGATGTGTGTCCTTATATATTTATCTTGCGATGTGCTTAGCTCTTTCTTGGTGGTTACATTTTGTCAAGTGAAGATGGTGGAGTAACTGATTAGAATAACTACGATGTGAAGCTCGTACCAAAAGTAACGACATCAGGTTACATGTCACACACACTAGTGGCTGGGGCGCGCGCACCTCCTGATGCGTCATTCTGCGCACTAAACATGCTGAAGGATTTGTTAACGTCTATGGATGACACTGTGTGTGACTTAGCGAGAAGAGCAGCATTATTGCAGGTGAGCAACAATGGCATGTTAGTAAATCTGCAGGATAATGAGTCGATTTCGGCATGGTGTATTGTGTTGTAAACTTGTGATTGATAGTGACCGCCTAACCGGAGTACCAGTAGTACTGCTCAGCCAAATGACATCTATGTTAAAGGACAAGGGAATATTCATACATACAGAAGACTTGATTGAACTATGCTTTTTATCATCCTTAAAAGTCGTCCCTTTATTCAGAAGGCTCGCAAATGTTTTTCACTCGGTATACATCAAGTTTATGTGCAACATTCAAGTTTCCGATGAAGCCTGATAAGTAAATCTAGTGACTGGGTAATATGAAGAAATATGTTTCACTTGCTCCCTAAAAAATGGAACAGAAAATTACATAACTTGCATGAAGAGACCAATGCATAGATCAAGCAGTTCTAGTCCGATTTGGTGTTTTTGGCCAAGGCCACAACGAAAATAATCTAATATCTCTAAATAAAACTCGAATTGGTACCAAATCGTCCAGATCTCAGGAATGGATCTACATCATCAGTCACGCCAGCTTGCTGCTTGTCCTAAAATTGCAGGCAAGCAAAACTTACTGATAGTTATAAGATAAGCAAAGAAATTCAAATAGAACTGATCAACTTTTGCCATCATCAAGTGAGGATTATAAAGAACAAATCGCTCATGCAAGATCACTGAAACCCGTATAGGCAGAGTCTCACAACAGATAGCCATCGGAAAGTTTATGGATAAAAGAAGGCATGCCTTGCATTGGGACTTACAGTATCATAAGTGCCCCACACGTCATCAGGACATAAAAATCTCTCAAACCAACACATTTTTGCTGTGGAATTGATGTGAAAACCTGAAACATTGCAACCAACATCTTTTTCATTATCCTGAATCACGGGGTCACTTTTGCTGACCGTATGATGGGATACGAGTTTCCAATCCAGAAATTTACGTAAAAAATTTACAGAAAACTATTCAGTTTTCTCGTCGCACGTGACATCGGTATCATCAACACAAGTTAATTGAATTTCACATAGTTTGCAAACTTGCCATTTAAGGTCTATAGATGGCAGCTCCTTGCACAGACGGTATGGCACATGGATCACCACGGCGGGTCGGCATTCCTTTTCCCAACAATATCGATCTGAGTACAAACAGAGCACAACCACATCATTATCTTGTACAACGATGCCAAATAGATAGGCAAGCAGAACAAATCACAAATAAGTATACAGTTAACTAAAAATACACTTTAAACTAAAACTACTACTTCCAGTTCTAAAGCTTGGCGAGTCACTGCGGCTCCGGCTATGTTTCTAAACATTTGTGACTTCAGTGTAATGCAAGTGTAATGTATAAGTTCATACTAGCACTTGCAAATTTTTTTTTTTTTGAAACAAGGCAAAAGATTTGCCATTTTCATTAATTAAGAAGAAGATTAGACATAGTTCCGCCAAGCGGGAGAGTACAGATCACTCTCGCGGCATAATATTACACAAATACTTCGCACCCGCACGAGCCCAAATAGAGGCCTCATCTTTAATCTTGCAATGACAACGGTAGTAGGGGCGGCGGTGTTGCGGAAAACCGTCGCGTTGCGTTCGTTCCAAATTTCCCACGCAACAAGCATCATCAAAGTGCTATGAGCCATGCGTGAGTGGCCCCTTTTGTGAGCAACCATGTCCCAACAAACTTCCACCGAGGGCACGAGTCTCCAATCTGACGGATCAATGTCGTGGAGGCCAAGCCAAGTCTTGATCTCCGTCCACACTCTCACTGTGACCCGACACTGGAAGAGGAGGTGAGCCGCGGTCTCCTAAACCTGCTTGCAAAGAGGGCAAAGGTTGCAATTCGGCCATCCCCGACGCTGCAATCTATCGGCGGTCCACACTCTATTATGAATAATCAACCAAGCGAAAAATTTGCACTTTGCGGGGGCCCAAGCTTTCCAAACGGTAGTGATCATGGCAGAGGCGGTGTTGACCCTCAAACTGAGCATTGTATGCAGAAGACGCGGAGTATACCCCATCTTTAGTGAACTTCCAAAAAATTGCATCGTCAACTCGAGGGGTTAGAATGACATTGGAGAGCTTCTTCCAAAGGGTGGCGAATTGCTCAATATGCTCAAAAGTGAGGCCCTGAGAGGTATCAATATTGCGGACCCAAGCGTTGTCTGTGAGACTCGAGCGAACGGAGCTTCTTTTCTTCCTGGAGAGATCAAAGATCTTTGGAGCAATATCCTTGGGGCGAATACCGTCCACCCAAGATGATTCCCAGAAAGTGGCCCGATGACCATCACCAATGGTAACATGAGTGGCAGCCGCAAAAAGATTTCTATCATCGTCAGTGCATGGCGTGCCCATGCCAATCCAAGGTTTAGTGGGGTCATCCCACTCAAACCAAAGCCATCGCAAGCGGAGAGCGGTAGCAAACTTTTGCAAGTTGAGGACGCTCAATCCACCATATAACTTGGGCTTGCACACCGTCTCCCAATTAATTTTGCATTTCCCGCCGGTGACCTTTTCACATCCCGCCCAAAGATAAGCGCGTCTAATACTGTCAATTGCCTTGATGACCTCGACTGGCAGATCCAGAGGAGTGAGGTGGTAGATTGCTATAGCAGTGAGGACCGCCTTGACAAGAACAATGCGACCCGGCGACGCAACATGTCTGCCAAGCCAAGGAGTGAGTTTTCCAGCCACCTTGTCTTCCAAATGTTGAAAGTGGATTCTCCGAAGTCTCCTGACCGATAGGGGCAGCCCAAGGTATCTCATAGGGAAGGTAGTTTGGATGGCAGGGAAGGACATGAGGATATCATCGAGGGCAACATCATTGCAGCGAATTGGTGCCACGTGGCTCTTGGCGCAGTTAGTGACTAGACCAGTGACCTCACCAAAATTAGCAAGGATGGATGCTAAGAACTGAATGTCTTCTTTTATTGGCTTCACGAAGATGGCAGCATCATCCGCATAGAGAGACGCACGAAGGGTTTCGGTCCTGGCTAGAATAGGGTGCAGCTGGCCTTGACTCGTCGCTTTAGCAAGGATGTGGTGAAGTGGGTCGATGGCAAGGACGAAGAGAAGCGGTGAGAGGGGGTCTCCTTGCCTACCCAAGGAAAAACTATCTATATACTGCTCTGTTTTGTCAAAGAGAAAAAAGAGTGGAATCTTAGTATGCAAGCAGCCAAACTCTTTTAGTTTTGAGAAAGCTAACAGTGAAGGATTCCAAGATAATTACCCAATCAGATGCGTTGAAGCTCTGTCAGGGGAGTCAATCTGGAATAAGGAACCATGGAAGTAGTGTCGCCAGTGCCGGAAGAAGAGTACCTACAAGGATAAACATCAGCTTGTCTCTAGACTCTCTGATCATTAGATCCCTAGATTAATCACAGCAAAGATGTACTCCCTCTGTTCCTTTTTAGTCAGCATATAAGATTTGGTCAAAGTCAAACTTTGTAAAGTTTGACCAACTTTGTATGAAAAAATATGAACATCTACAATGCTAAAGCTATCTGGTATGAAAATTAATTTCATGATGCATCTAACAATTTGATTTCATATTGTGAATCTTGATATTTTTTCTTTAAACTTAGTCAAAGTTAATCAAGTTTGACTTTGACCAAATCTTATACGCGGACTAAAAAGAAACGGAAAAAGTACCAAGGGGCCACCTCTGGTTCATTTTTAATGGAACCGGGGGCCTAAAATTCCCTTATGCTCTAAAAAAGGGGCCACCTCTGGTTGTTGTGCTGCTGCTGTTGCCGCGGTTTCATGAGTTGGAGAAAGAGAGTATGCATCTAGGTGCCGCGCCGGGCCGTGCAGACGCAGCAGGAGACGGCCAGGCTGCACGGCGCGAGGCGCCGGAGTATGTCCAGCAGGGCCGGCTTTGGACCAGTGCGAGAGGTGCGACGGCCCAGGCCCAGACTAAAAGGGGGCCCATAGTATATATGCAGTATATATAGTAGTGGAAAAAAAGAATGACTAACGTCCAGCCCAGGTAGCTCTGAGCCCACCCAGCAAGCAGCACACAACCACCACTAAGGCCTGCCCAACCAAGCCCAGTCAACGCACGTTGCCCTGTCGTTCTCCTGGAATCTAGGGAGACGCAACAACACAGGAGCACGAAGACGCATCGACACAGCAGCATGCCGCCTGACGCCGACACCAGCGCACCGCATCGAACCTGGAGCTGAGTTTGGGGATCAAATCGGCAAGAATTCGGGGAAGAGATCAACTGATCAAGATCATCATTCAGAAGGTAATAATTCTCAGATCAATCTATTCATAAATCCTAATCTATAGGCGAATATTTTCCGGTGGTCTCAATTCTGAAACTTCTCATCTAAAAACATAACATCTTCAATCTCTGATACTGTATTCATGTTTCTCACTTGCAGCATAATCATGTTACCTAAAAAACATCTATCTGGTTGTGAGAAAAGAAACAACAAGAAAAGAGTAGACAAGTTGATTAAATCTCAGGAAGGCGCTATGGATATGTTTGTCTTGAGGACTGGTGCTGCTACAAATTCAGAGCAATTATATATAACAAATGGTGAAGAAAAACCTGATGATACTAAGAATGCCGTTGAGGAAAATCATGTCGAGGAAAATAATGCTGCGAAAAATGATGCTGATCAGCACACGGAAAATTTTAGTGACCATGAGAATCTTGGAAATGCAGATGAGCAGGGTTCTTCTTTTGATATATATGATCCTAGAACTTGGAATATTCTTGACAATAAACCAAGAGATATTCTCATTGAAAAAGGACCTATAAAGGAATACAATCTTGAGTTTCCCGAAGATGAAATTAGTGGCAGGCATATTTCATATGATTACTACACAAGAAAGTTAAGGAATGGCGAGTTCAGTGATCGGAGGTGGTTAGTGTACTCTAAACACATGAATAAAGTCTACTGCTTTTGTTGCAAATTGTTTAAATCTGGAAAAAGCAAAAGTCTGCTAGCATCCGAGGGATTGAAGGATGTAGACATCTTAGTGAGAAGCTCCAATTGCATGAGAATAGTGTTGAGCATATCACTAACATGAATACTTGGAATGAGGTAAGGCTGAGGCTAAGTAAGAAGAAAACAATTGATAAAGACATGCAACAAGAGATTGCAAGGGAGAAGGAGCGATGGAGACTTGTTTTAATTAGAATTGTTGCTGCTTTGAAATTTCTTGCTAAACATAGTCTGGCTTTTCGAGGATCGAATGAGAAATTATATCAAGATAACAACGGAAATTTTTTGGGAGTAATTGAAATGATGGCAGAATTTGATCCTGTAATGCAAGAGCATCTTCGGCGCATTAAGAATAGTGAAATCCATCTTATCTTGGCCATAATATTCAAAATGAGTTAATTTCCCTTCTTGGTCGCACTGTTAAATATTCTCTCTTGAGGATAATTAAGGATGCAAGGTATTTCTCTGTCATCTTGGACTGTACACCTGACGTGAGCCATCAAGAACAAATGACTCTAATTGTGAGGTGCGTAAACATGTCAAGTACTACTACAAAAATAGAGGAGTTTTTTCTGGAGTTCTTGAAGGTGGATGATACATCCAGACTTGGACTTTATAATGTGTTAATAGATTCACTTAAATCTGTCGGTTTGGATGTTAAAGATGCTCATGGACAAGGGTATGACAATGGTTCGAACATGAAAGGAAAACACCAAGGGGTACAAAGAAGACTACTTGAAACTAATCCAAGAGCATTATTCATGCCATGCGCTTGTCATAGCATGAACCTTACTCTTAGTGATATGGCAAAATCTTGCGGTAAAGCTATTACCTTCTTTGGTGTTGCGCAAAGAATTTATATATTGTTTTCAAGCTCTACTAAAAGATGGCAGCTATTGCTTGATTATGTTCCAAAAATGACAGTTAAGTCTTTGTGTAACACTCGATGGGAGAGTCGAATAAAGAGTGTTCAGGCTATCAGATCTCAAGCACCCGAGTTAAGAAAAGCATTACTGGAATTGAAGAGAACTTCTACCGATGACGCCAAGACTAAGAGCGATGCAAAATCTTTGGCTAGCGCACTTGAGAAATTTAAATTTTTACTTGGCATGGTCATTTGGCATGACATTTTGTTCACTGTAAACATGGTGAGTAAGAAGTTGCAGTCTAAGTTTGTGTGCATTGATGTTACTCTTAAACAGATTGAAGGTGCCATCTCATATCTTAAGAAGTACAGAAATGACGGCTTTGCAACTAGTCTGGATATTGCGAGATCTATTGCAATTGACATGGGTGTACAACCTTTGTTTCCTGTCAAGAGACGTATTACTAGAAAAAGACAGTTTGATGAAATTAGTGACAATGACGAAAATAACCAGAATGAAGAAACGCAAGCAAGTGAGGTGGAATCATTTAGAGTTAAATACTTTTTGGTGATGATTGATATTGCAATTGCTTCCCTAACTACTAGATTTGAGGAACTGAAGGCATTTGGGAGCATATTTGGTTTCTTGTTCAACTCGAAAGAGTTGAAGTCCTTGGGTGATAATGATCTAAGAAGATGTTGCACTAATTTTGTCAACAAATTCACTCATGGTAAGTCAGCAGATGTCGATCTAGATGATTTCGTTTCTGAACTAAAAGTACTGCAGATGACATTGCCAAACACATTCATGTCGGCGGATCAGATATTTGAGTTTGTTAGAGATGCGGAATGTTATCTAAATGTCTCAATTGCTTATCGTATCCTTTTGGCCGTACCTGTGACTGTTGCATCAGCTGAAATGAGTTTCTCAAAATTGAAACTATTGAAAAATTATTTGAGGTCAACGATGTCTCAAGAAAGATTGAATGGATTGGCCACGTGCTGCATTGAGAAGAATATGCTGGATAGTATTGATCTTGACACTCTCATTGATGATTTTGCGTCAAAAAATGCACGAAAGTCTCGTTTCACATGATCACCGGAGGTTAGCATGCTATTTCTATATGTTTTTTCTGCGTTGTAACTTCCATGATACTTGGTTTGGAACAAAGACAGGGAAAATAACATATGCTTGATTGTAGTAAAAAATATTAGTTTTATAATTTTATAGCAATTTTATATTTTCATGTATCAAATTGGATTTTTGTCTCTATTGGGCTCACTGGTCGGGTTCGCACCGGGGCCATCGAAATCACTGGTCGGTGTGCTCCATGTCCATGCCCATGTTGCGGGTAGATGAGATCCGATCGAGGACGATGATTGATTAGGTAGCTTAGAATTAGGCCACCCTGTCGTTACGAAAGCAGTTGGGAACGCATGACATGATGACTTTGCTGCGGCAGAATCCCTCTATGCACGCGTGAATGGAGTAATAAAAAAAGAAATACCTCGAAATAATATTAGGCTTATTGAAATAGATAAAATGAGAACAGGGCAGTAGCCCAATGGCTAGGGTCAGAGTGTGCACCTGGCAACCAGAGTTCGATCATGTGTGGACCGAATTTCTGGGATTCTCACCAAGGAGGCGCATATACATGTCGGCTCTAAATTCCTATCTGACCATTAAACACTTTTTTTGTGTGCCACCTATTCAAAATTGTGAATAGTTCATTGCAGGTCAAAGTTACGAGTTACAGAAAATCCAGTGAACTGTTTACAGGCTTGCAACGTCAATCCTGAAGAACAAAACAGAATGAACAGTTCACTACTTTAAGACTCTGGATCAAAGATTTTCAGCAGCACATTGCCACGGTGACCCTAATCTGGACCACCACGCTTTGCTATGTGAATTGTTCCACTGCAGGCCGTAGCAATTCAGGTGATCTGTTTCAAAATTTGTGCATTTTTTCAAAAAAAAAACCAAAAAAACAAGAACGCAAATCAGGTGATGCCATTGCTCCGAGTCGAGTTATTTACCCAAAACCACCACACTTAGGGCTAGGGTAACAACTTAGTACCACATTTGAGCCAGAGCACAAAAAACCATCGGTTCTGCGCCTATATGTAACACGGAGCACTGATTGTCCGATTTGGTCGCGAAAACAGCGAAACCGACAGGTAGACCCCACCTGTCGGGCTGACGTGGCGTGCTTGTGTGGACAATTTGCTGAGTTGGACGAGGGCCCCACCTGTCAATGACTAGAGTGTTTATCTTTTTTCACTTTATTTTTATTTCCCTTTCCAATTTTCTCATAGGCATTTCAACAAACACGTTGTGTGCATGTATTCATCGATGCCACGGCCAGGCGAGGCCGGGCAAGGCAGCTGCGGCAAGGAGAAGCTCAGACGACACCCATGGTGATCTTCTCTGGGGACGCCGATGGCGGACTCGCGGCCGCGGCCGGACATGCCCTCCACCGCGCGCGGCCAGGGCCTGCCTGCGCACTGCCGCTAGCCGCCGGGTACAGTAGCTCCAGCATCGCCGACGCGTGCTCCATTGTAGTGCCCATGTGGCCCGACGCTCCAACCGTCTCCATTAGCGTTAGCCCGAGAAAGATCTCCCATGCAGGAGACGCCTAGGGGCAGTCGTATGCTTCTGGTTCTCCCCAACCACTGTGCCGCTAGCCACTACTCGCAACGCCACTTCGCCGCCAGCCGCTGCTCGCGACGCCACTTCGCCACCAGCTCGCTACGCCACTTCGCCACCAGCTTGCGCCGCCAGCCAATGGATGATGCAGGGCACGCATGTGTTCATCCAGGGAGACATCTACTCATGGAGGCACGAGGTCCAGCGGGGCGGCTCAACGCGGATTAGATGGCTGGGGCGGCGGGTCAGCTCCCCGGTGGTGGGGTATCTCGCTGGGGTTGGGCTCCGACGGCGGTGCGGGATAAGGCAGTTGGGGTGGGGTGGGGGGTGTTGGTGGACTGGAGGGAGAGAGGGGAAGAAGAGAGTGCCCGCCAGGTGGGGCCTTATGCCACCTCAGCGAAATATCCACATAGGCATGCCAAGTCAGCCCGACAGGCGGGCCTGACCTGTCAGTTTCGCTGTTTTCGCAACCAAATCGGACAATCAGTGCTCCGCGTTACATATTAGGCGCAGAACTGGTATTTTTTTGTGCCCCGTCTCAAATGCCCTGTTCAAGAATTCATCCGATTAACCAGTTAACTTGCCGATTAATCCCTACTCGTAGGGTCACCGAGTAACCTATAAACCGATAAATCGTCCAATTAATTGATTAAATGGCCGATTAACTTACCGATTAGCTGATTAATCCCCTACTCACCAGCCAACTGAGCAGCTACCAGTTAACGATTTCCTCAACAATGCTCAAATGTGATACTAAGTTGTTAACCTAGCCCCAAGTATGGTGGTTTTGGGTAAATAACTCCTCCGAGGCAAGTAAACACATGCAAGGCCAATCAACCTAGTGACCCTACTTCACTTATTAGTATGCAAGGACATATGCTCGTCTAAACTACCCAAATCTCTAGAACCGCTCCATGGTCTAGATAGCAGCCCGATGATTAACTTTTTTTTGAACCGGGCGTACCCCTTTCCATTTGCATTAAACGGAAATACAACAGTTCCAGGTAACTAGGGAGAGGGAAAGGAGGTAGCGAGTTCAAAGCACTGACAGGAAACCCACCGTGCCCGCCCGTCATCGAAACGAGCACTATCGGGCAAAAACCTGACAACACCATACAGTTTACAAATCCATGATCACCAGCTAAACACGAGAACAAAAGGGCTCAAAAAGCCAAATAACGACCAACAAGCCAGCTGTGAAGTAGAGTAGCCAAGCTCATCACCAAGTCAACACCTCTCCATCATCATCCATCGCACGCCTGGTCTTCTCACACATCGCCATCAGCCTGGTCGTGCTTGAGCGAATCATCTCTGCACCTTGGCGTAACTCCTCCGCGTCTTCCTTGTTCTGAAGTCCTGGCCAATACAAGAGAAAAGAACATGCCGAAAACACAAACTCAAAAGGAGATTTAATCAACTTCTTCTCAAAGGTAGCTCTATTACGAACCAGCCAAATGGCCCAGGTCACAGCAGTCAGGCCAACTGTGAAGAACTTAGTTCCATTTGGCAAAAACATATTGCACCACACATAATATTGCCAAGCATTATTAGGACACAGGTCAGTCCCCAGGACCACATCAATAGATCTCCAGGCAACTCGTGCCACAGGGCAGGATAAGAACAAATGCGAGCCCGTTTCCAGCTGACCACAAAAGGAACACACAGGGTTTCCTGGCCATTTTTTCTTTTCATCACCGATTCTGGTGAGAACTGCATCTTGGGCCATTTGCCATAAGAATACCTGGATCTTAAGAGGAAGTTTAGCTCCCCAGATCCATCTATAGTTGCAGCCACTAATTGGTTTCTCCAGCCATTTATACATAGATTTAGTAGTATACTTGGCATTCTTATTGAGCCCCCAATAAACCGAGTCTCTATTAGCATAGGTTTATTCCCACAACTAGCGCACGCATTTTTTCCCACTGTTCTCTCAGATCAGGGTCAAGGCAACATCTGAAGAACGAAGAGGGTACAACACCACAGAAATTTCCCATTGTGCAATCTTGGTCTGTGCAAATTGCAAACAGCTGCGGGAAGGATAATTCGAGTGGTGGAAGACCATTCAAGGAATCTTTCCACACCCTGGCCAGATCGCCAGCCCCCAAAGTGATTCGCCTCCCCACCATGTATAGGTCTTTTATTTTCAGGAGGGCTTTCCAACAAGGCGAATCAGAATATCTAGAAGTCACTGTAGCAATAGACTTGTTAGACAAATATCTAGCTTTTACCAGATCTTGCCACACCCCCTTCTGGGTTTCGAGTTTCCACCACCACTTCACCATAAGACTTATATTCTATTTCCTGAGATCTTTGACCCCCAGGCCCCCCTTTTTTCTCGATCTACATACCCTTTTTCCATTTTACCAGGTAATAACGATTATTCTTATTGCAGCCTTGCCAGAAGAACTTTCTTCGGTGCTTATCCAATTTTTCTACGAAAGTCTTGCTCATGAGCCACATTGACATGTGGTACAGAAACAGTTGTGATAGCACCGAGGTAAGCTGGGTAAGCCTGACCCCTATAGAGGCAGCATTCCCAATCCAAGTCCCAAATTTTTTCAAATATTTATCAACAATAAATTCCCACACCGAGTCTTTCAAAGAGGAAAAACTCACTGGCATTCCCAGGTATTTGATTGGAAAGTGCCCAATCTCACAGTTGAATAGCTCAGCATACCCCCTATCGATCTCAACATCTCCCCCAATGGTTAGGATTTCACTTTTCTGAAAATTCACTTTCAACCCTGAAATCAGCTCAAACATGTATAACAGGATTTTAAGATTCATCGCTTTCTCCATGTCATGCTCCAGGAAAATGATCGTGTCGTCTGCATACTGCAGAACAGCCACCCCATTTGGGATGAGATCAGCAGCTAAACCAGTCAGCAGGCCATTTTGTTGAGCTTTATTAATCATTTTATTTAAGCAGTCTGCAGCCAAATTGAACTGGAAAGGGGAGTGCGGGTCCCCCTGAGCACCCCCTTCGCACTCTGAAAGTACGGGCCTACAGAGTTATTCAGCTTAATGCTAACTGTACCGTTGTACAGGATCTGTCTCACCCACCCACACCAAGTTTCATCGAAGCCTCTCAACTTATGGCATTCCAAAAGGAACTCCGAGTTGACTTTATCGTATGCCTTCTCAAAGTCCAATTTCAGTACCACCCCAGTTCTTTTCTTAACATGAGTGTAGTTCAGGAGCTCATGAAGAGTCATGATTCCATCCACAATATTCCTACCCTTCACAAATGCATTCTGTGAAAGGCTAATCAGCTTATCAGCGTACTTCTCAACTCTCCGATCCATTGTCTTAGTAATCAGTTTATACGGACATCTGAGAAGGCAAATGGGTCGGAATTGTTGAATGCGCTCGGCGCCCGACACCTTAGGAAGGAGAGTGATCACTCCGTAGTTGAGACGCTGCACATCAAGCGTCCCATCATGGAAGTG